AGTTGCGAGTAGCTGGATTATTTGATACCATGTTAAAATGTTAGACTTTTGAAGTTGTTACTTAAATTTACAGTACTTCTTTCAAGATATAATACATTATTTGTAAACAGTTTAAAGCATACAACTACCCATTCTCAATAACTAGAAATAAATCGACCCAAAAGCAACATAGTTCATTCTTCCCCACATCAACGGAAAATAATTTACATAGAAACTAAAACCTCCAGTGATTAGAATCATCTTAACTCACAGACTCAGGTTAAGAAAATGGTGAGAAACGCTTCTCTGATTTGCATGCATTAGTTCGAAGCATTAATCTCAATCAGATTATCCTACAGATAATCAGTCGCTGACTTTCTTTTCACAGTTAAACTACACAATGTAATTATGTTGTCTAGACTATAGTTAAACTACCCAATATAATTATGTTGTCTAGACTATAGTTAAACTACCCAATATAATTATGTTATCTAGACTATTGTCAAAACTACACAATATAATTATGTTGTCTAGACTATAGATATACTACCCAATATAATTATGTTGTCTAGACTATAGTTAAACTACCCAATATAATTATGTTGTCTAGACTATTGTCAAACTACCCAATATAATCATGTTGTCTAGACTATAGTCAAACTACCCAATATAATCATGTTGTCTAAACTATAGTTAAACTACCCAACATAATTATGTTGTCTAGACTATGGTCAAACTACCCAATATAATTATGTTGTCTAGACTATGGTCAAACTACCCAATATAATTATGCTGTCTAGACTATAGTTAAACTACCCAATATAATTATGTTGTCTAGACTATAGTCAAACTACCCGATTATATTGGGTAGTTTGACCATAGTCTAGACAACATAATTATATTGGGTAGTTTAACTATAGTCTAGACAACATAATTATATTGGGTAGTTTAACTATAGTCTAGACAACATAATTATATCATGTTGTCTAGACTATAGTTAAACTACCCAATATAATTATGTTGTCTAGACTATAGATATACTACCCAATATAATTATGTTGTCTAGACTATAGTTAAACTACCCAATATAATTATGTTGTCTAGACTATAGTCAAACTACCCAATATAATCATATTGTCTAGACTATAGTCAAACTACCCAATATAATCATATTGTCTAGACTATAGTTAAACTTCCCAATATAATTATGTTGTCTAGACTATAGTTAAACTGTCCAGTGGAAGTCAACTTTTCCGGTCTTAGGAATTATATTCTTTACTTCAAGTTAGTCTATTCTGTCGAATCCCAAACGCCGATCCCGATCTGATAAACCCGATATAACATCAGTCGCCTCAGATAAACCCGATATAACATCAGTCGCCACTCCGAATCACAAGAGTTTCACTCACTTTCTCGTTCACATATTTCAAAATAACCTAATTCACAAACATCTGTTACATAATTCACAGGAATTTATTTTGTTAACCTCCGTTACTAGCCTAAAGGAAGTCTCCGTTACTTAGTATAAAAGAAGTAACCGTTACCAAGTACAAACAATTTCACTTGTTAGTCTTCTTTATCTAGTCTACAGGAAGTCTCCGTTACCCAGTACAAACAATTTCACTTGTTAGTCTCCTTTATCTAGTCTACAGGAAGTCTCCGTTAACCAGTACAAACAATTTCACTTGTTAGTCTTATTTATCTAGTCTACAGGAAGTCTCCGTTACCAAGTACAAACAATTTCACTTGTTAGTCTCTTTTACCTAGTCTACAGGAAGTCTCCGTTACCTAGTACAAACAATTTCAATTGTTAGTCTCTTTTATCTAGTCTACAGGAAGTCTCCGTTACCCAGTACAAACAATTTCACTTGTTAGTCTCCTTTATCTAGTGTACAGGAAGTCTCCGTTACCCAGTACAAACAATTTCACTTGTTAGTCTCCTTTATCTAGTGTACAGGAAGTCTCCGTTACCCAGTACAAACAATTTCACTTGTTAGCCTCGATTAGATATTCGAAAATAATTTAACTCGTCAGTCATAGGGTAATTTTGTAATATAATAACTTTCGTTAGTATTACTCAAATTTTCATCTGTAGCCTAATGGCTCGTATTTAGAGTAACAACTTTACAACATTTTGGATGTGATCGTACTTACCTTCCTTAGTTATAGACAAGTCACAGAGTTAGATTGTTTTGACAAATCTTGACTTTCTGTGTTTCAATAATCCTAATCTGAGAATTAAACATACGGAAATAGATTTTGCTCGTTCTGTAATTAACTTGTATTAGCCCTAACCAAACACACGAAAAGAATTAATTAAGCAATCTGTCACTTTCAGCTTCTTAAACACAACAAATACAGCGGGAGGGGCTTTAATGCCAGAATGAACAGATGCTTTTCTAAATCTCCGATCCTACAGACAAGTGCATGGCATATAGTCATGTGGTTACATATGGTTGTCAAAGTTACGTAAAAAAAAAAAACGAAAAAAGAATTAATCGCCTTTCAGATGAAGTATAGAAAGTACCAGGCTTTCTCGTAATAATCCTTTAAAACCCTAGCGGACTTGGCAAGTCGGTGTAGTTTATCTGACATTTAAAAGACAAGCAAAATAAGAAAGAAGCAAAACTTAAGAAATCCCTTTCGAGATGTATTCACTCACAGTTCTGTGGTAAAAACTGGAATGTCATTAGGTATATCTTCCAGAGCTTGCCCAGAGCAATCCACCATTGTACCTTCACAAACACATTTTTCTGGACACTTTACGTCAACGAGACATTCACCCGCATACTTCGTCCGCTTTTCCTCAGAACCTAAACAGAGTATAAACCACAGCTTTGAAAGCTGCACAGATTTCACACCGTACGTTAAGCTGAACTTTAAAGTAAATAACTCTTACAATTTCAAAGGAAATACAACATGCCGCTCCAACAAATATTACTACACATTAAGTCGGCTGTATTCTCGATTTTCTTTTTTTAAAATTAATGAGAAATTATGTTAAAATTTCATGAATGTTAAACAACTGAAACTTATGTAGCGCTTACAGAACTATAGCCAAATCTATATATTTATACATAAGTTTTAAATGAACTAATTCTAACTCTATGTTTAAGCAGACACCTCACACTACAGGAAGCTAGAGAAAGATTCGAGCGTAGATAAATGAACACTGTTGAACCTTTCTACGGTAAGTACCATTGTGAGCTGACGTTATCAATGTACGGTGATACTTCAGTAAAATAAAAAGGAATAAGCATATTATTCATAATGAGAAAACGTTTTTGTTTCCGACGACCTGTTAAAAGTTGACGTGCTTGAGATTTAAAGGAAAAATGTTTTATTAAGCACCTATTGTACTGATTGCCACTTATTACTACCTAAAACTAAATAAGAAAAATGTCGCCTAAAAATAAAGTTTTCATGTTTTATTTATGTGCCTTTTTGAAGAACCAATAGCGACTAGGAAAACACCGTTGAAACTGTTACAGGCTTATACTTGGTCTTAAACCATGTATTCAATGAATTTGTCTAAGTGTATCGGGTTAAATACAGTTGTTTTGCTATTTCTAGACACAATTTGTATATACATTTCTTCTGATGTAATAAATCGACACAAAATAAGTTATTTTGAAGACATAAAAGCTAAATGCTATACATCTATACAAAAACTGTTAGCTAGTCTTAACAACACATCCAAATGGTCACAGGTTTCTTGTCTTAACAACACATCTATATAGTCACATGTTTCTTTTCTTAACAACACATCTATATGGTCACAGGTTTCTTGTCTTAACAACACATCTATATGGTCACAGGTTTCTTGTCTTAACAACACATCTATATGGTCACAGGTTTCTTCTTATTACAATATTTGCGTTGCCAGCAGCAACAAGAAGGCCAGATTTACTTGACTTAATGAGCTATTTTCAAAGATATAGTATATAATTAAATGATTACAAGTTTTAATTGTTTTGTTTATTTTCCTGTTCATAAGTGGCCTTACTATTCAGCCATACTTAGATATAGAACATTCAGAACATTTTCTAAGTAATTAGTTAAAATGATTTTGAACTGTTGTAGGTTTCTTTCAGTAAAGAATTCTATTTACACACACAAGAACAAGTGTGCCAACATATAAACACAAAATGTCATAATGGTAATTCTACATTAGAAATACTTGGACAGGATAGATGGGCTTTAGAAAACGTATATTGTTAAGAAAAACAAAACCATTACCAAGATGTTTTAATGGGATTTTAAGTTAGTTAGACTGAATATAATTCAATATATGTCTACACGTAAACTTTCTCAAATTTAATGTTACAAGTTTAGCTATGTAAAAAACGAGTTGGGAAAAAAAAGCGATCAGACATTAAATATTTTTATACTTATAGCAGGCTGGGTCATTTAACTTCTCTGCAACAAAGCTTCCCCGTTGGCTTTTAATATGATTAACACGTACCAAGGAGGAAAATATATTCATTCAAAGCACTGATGTTTGAGAAGGTCATTTGTAAAACTCGGCGTTTTCTCAGAGCATTTGGAAGTTTATTAATTTGGGTTTCTGTCCAAATTTTCACCTGCGCTAGCTTGTGTAGCCCCATAAATGGTCAGAATATTTTTGTTTATAAAGCATAATCACTTCGGACACTAATGAAAATCATACATTGATGTAGCATGCTAAAAGTGAGTGAATTAACGAGGTGATATGGCTATTCCATCATAGGTTCTTCAAGTTATTAATTAGAGATAAAACACATTTTAATTGCTGTTCAAAACTGAGTATACTATCATGTTCCATATATTGTTACATAAGAAACGATAAAAAGAAGAAGCATTTTGTTAACACATAACACAAAACTTTCTCTATAATGCTCATTTTTCAGCATGTGTTGAACTTCCAAAAGTCAAAAACTAGCTGTATCGTTTAAGGAAAATAATATATAGCTTCTTATTTGTTTATAATACTCTTCGCAATCTGTGTATGAATTCCTCTTTTGAACATATGTATCGAAGCTCTATGAAATATAATAACTACCATGAAAGCACCTATGTATATTCTTTTAGGTCACTGATTTAGTTAATAACGTCACTGTATTTACGACGTTATATAAGATCACAAACTTGTAGTACAAGGCAGCAATCACTAAATCGAATGCATTTAATACCTTTACATTTAAATTTGTTTTCCTTTAGGGTGTTGATGCGGCGACGATGCATTCTCTCCGGACTCTCACAGCGGACACCACTGGTTTCTATCGGTTTCAATTCCAGATATTCAGCTAGCCACCGCAGGTTACAGTCGCAGATGAACGGGTTTCTTCCTAAGTGTCTAAAAAAGGATACTTCATTACTATTAAGTTACATATATATATACACTTTGAGGTAGCATAAACTTAGAAATGAGAGACCATTGCCGATATCAGGGGACCATAACATAATTTCCAAAAAAGAACGCGCATAAAGTAATTGAAAACAATGACGACATTTGTGACGAACAAATACATGTAAGTAAATAAGCTGATGATTTTTTGTTGTTGTAAATTTCAAGAAAGTCACACAAGGGATATAATTTTCAACTGATAAACAAGCGGTAAAGCAGCTAGAAAACGGCACCCACCGTTAACTCTTAGACAACATTTGTCTGCTTTGGTAGTGCAATTTGACCGTTATTCTTATAGGACTCTCATGGCCCAAAGCACAGAGCGCATTTTTTACGTCAACGGGCCGCAAACGATTCCGCAAATTCATACGCTAACCACTGAGCCACGTTCGGCCATAGTAAGCAGTTGAAAATTACACATGACATGAAAATGATAAAAAAAAATGCTTTGGTGAAAGCAATTAGTAACTGGAACAAAATATATGAATATTTATATTGAGAACCAATGCAATTGAACGATTATTACTTATCAACCATCACTGAGCACGTGTTTACTCATTATGGAATCCTGTTTTTTCTTTTCTTTTTTAAAACTAAAGCTGCGCAGTAGACTATGTATGATGTGCCACCGAGGGTATCAAGCTTAAAGCTGAGCCATTGGTGAGGGCATTATGGAATAAATTAATAATTACTTTAATATATGGCGTTTAATTACCTTGTAAAGAACCTTGAAGCATTATTGTTAGAATTATTTTTTGAAATTCCAAGTGTAGTTTTACTTCACTTAAATGTTACATTTTAATGTTACACCAACAAACAGTTACACGTCTGGTAACACTGTGGTTTTAGAAATGAAAGAATGCACCAAATTTCCATGACAACGACTGATGCTTTAAGACGAGGTTATTCTATTTTACATGTTTATAAACATATATTACTAGGATTCTTTAAAAAAATCTCACTATTCAACAGGGGAATGTCTAAGAATCAGCAATTTCGGCAAGCACGGTGCTGTCACAGCTCGTGTGTGGTCTTTCACGTAACGACCCACGTGCATTAAGAGGTTGTGTTTGTTATTTATACAGTGTTTATAAAATGTTGCAACATTCTTAAGTAATAAGAAAGAAACAGAGCCAAGCATATACAAAGTGAGCTGTACTTAATTCTGTGCATTAAGCAATATTTTACTGTTTTGAATACTTTTTATCATCTCAAGAGTATATGTCGAAAAATAAATTATTCCAGCAATATTGCACTAACGACGAACGTAAAAAAATCAAAAGTTTTTTTTCTCTTAAATTGTAGAGAGAATATTAAAATAAAACCACAATGTAAATATTAGGAATAATACAGCAAGGAGGATTTTTGAATAAAAGTACATTAAGAATACTCAGATAATACAGCAGTCACCAAATATTATTTAAATATACCGCCGTTGGAATATTAAAATTATCTACTAATGTTAGTAGTCATATAAAATTCAAATAAACCCCAATGTGGAAATATTTAAATAATATACTATCACTGAAAATTCAAACAAACCGCAATGGGTCCTCCCCCCCCCCCGGTAATTCAGCGGTAAGTCTGAGGGTTTATAACGGTAAAATATCGAGGTATGATACCCGCTGTAGGCAAAACACAGATAGCCAATTATGTAGCTTTGTGTTTAATAACAAACTAATAAAACCACTGTGGCGTGTGGTGTGATGTTCGAATAATATAGCAATGACGAAAAATTCGAATAAACCGTTGTGGAAATATTCAGAGTTGTAGCAATCTCAATAAATTTGAATAAAATTAATGTTGGAATGCTCAAATAATATAGCAGTTCCGAAAAATAAAGCTAAAAACACAGTATAGAAATATTCACACATTACAGCTGTAAGATTTTTTATTAACGAATATACCACTGGATTTAATTAGTTTGATTGTGTGAAACACGAAGCTACACAAAGGCTCTCTGTGCTGTCCCACTGGGTGGCTATATCAGTTTAAATATTGAAATTAAAATGGTACTGCAATACTTTATCTGTGCAAAGTCGACTTTAATTTTAAAGTGACAGGCAAGAGCGAAGTCAGTAGCACCCGCCGCCAACTCTCGGGATACTTTTGTGTGACCGAATAGTGTGATTTAATCGTCACTCTTATGGCGCACTCGCGGCCACAAAGTGGAGAGTATGTTTTAACGAGTCGCGAACCACAAGGGCAACTGGACGTGAGAAACATTAATGTAGTATTATTGTGGATAAACAAAAAAAAATCATAGATTAATTTCTTTGTTTTAACGCAAAGCTAGAAAATGAGCTATATGCGCTCTGTTCACTGGGGGAGGGAGTCAAACCACGGATTTTAGAATTGTAAGTACCACAAACCCACCGGGGAACTTGTAGATTAATATTATCCAAGTTTGAATCAATAAAATGTTCACAAACATGTTTCCTCTTTAACCATTTTCAACAGAAAATATATTTATCGGAATTTTGAAAATTTTTATAGTCCATTTTTGTACATTTCAGTTTACCATCAAAAGGAGTTTGGGGTCGTTTATAATAAGAATCTAGTCATACCGTAATATGCTTTAAATTAAGATACTATAAAGGTAAAAACAATAAGCAAGTTAACTTCCGACCAAAACCAGGGGGTATATATCGATGATTTCTGCAGCGACAAACAACCAGATAGACGGTTAGATAGATAGATAATTGGATGCAACATTTAAAGTTACTATTTTGCATTTTTGCCAAATTTCAACACTGATCTTCTAAACTTTTCAAAATACTCATAAAAGATGTATGCCAGATTGTGTTTTTTGTTGTTGTGTTTATATTTCAAATCTGGATGTATTTAGAAAAATATATTGTGATACTATGGTTACACTTCCGGTCTGAATATATTTAGAAAAGTCTGTGTCACTATGATACACTTCCAATCTGGATGTATTTAGAAAAGTCTGTGTCACTATGATACACTTCCAATCTGGATGTACTAAGAAAGAGCATGTCTCGCTAATAGAAGCACAAAGGATCCTCTATAAAGATGAAATCAGACCATTCAACTTTTTAATGTGATACAACTTTAAAACGAAGAATCCTAGCTCTAGTAATTTCGATGAGATTGCTGTCAGATCCAGATGTTTGAAATTGCTACATATAAGAAAAATTTGGTTTTCTTATCTCTTTTAAAAGAATATATAAAAACAACGCAAAACTAATGTAATATTAAATCGTATTTCTTCAGTTTTCTATTATATATGCATATAGCAAGATTTTCTCTATCATTATTGTTTTTAATTATTAGATCGCTTATGCACATCAATTTATTATATCATTTCAGTAATATTTAATCGTTAAATCAATTGTAAAAAACAAAGAAAAAAAGAAGAGAGAGATTCCAGTGGATAAATATTTGAACTTACCATTAGAAAATTCACCGGAACAGCACAACTTTAGAACCTGTTCTTTGACAGATTCTCTCAATCATCAGCACTAATGATAACCATGGTAACATTACACACTTCTTAAAGAATCAGGTTCACTGACCAATAAAATATTTCAATTGTCTAACTCCACATTTTTTCTGTTTCTTTGCCAGTTTACTAGCACAACGATTTCAACTGAATTATTCCTATAGCCAAATGACAAGGGATGTAAAGACAAATTTAAAATGTGGGTGAAGCCAATATCTTGGAAGATTTCTGGGGTGAAAGGCTTTATGCCAGTCTTTCGAGTCTTCAACAAGGAGAAGCAAGGGAAAATAGATCCTCAACAGCACTTCTCCACAGCGGAAAAGGAAAACCCTTCTTTTCTTCTTAATGAGTTAATAAGAGCAAAAAATAGTCGCTATGTTCGTACACAGAGAATACCACGTTAGGATTTGTTTGCCCTAAATTTCTGCACATGCATATAGCAAAGTGGCTAGAAACTGTATCAACTGATCATTACTTTTATTTAACGATTCCACTGTTAAGATAATCGGCCACAACTTTGCGATGCTGAACGTCGTTTCTGTCACAACATAACGACTTTCTTCACATCTTCGCCTTCTCTGTTAGATAGGAAACAGTTGTAGATACTGGTTTAGATAGAAAACAGTTGTAGATACTGGTTTAGATAGAAAACAGTTGTAGATACTGGTTTAGATAGAAAACAGTTGTAGATACTGGTTTAGATAGAAAACAGTTGTAGATACTGGTTTAGATAG